ACATTAATACTGACTAAATACATAAGTGAAGAGAACCTTTTGAGAGATTTTTTTTAGATGCACGGTGGGTAATAACCAAAAGTAAAAATAAACATTTAGTTACACCCACCATTTTTTTTAATGGGAAAAATGGATTTAAAATAGTACCTACATTGTATATTATACTTCTAACTTGGGATCATTTTGTTTGAAAACTGAAAACAATCAACTGAATTCACATGAATTAAAGTCTTAAAATTGTACTGCAGACAAAGAAGCAGAAGGAAGTAGCAGGGGGAAATCCACAGGTTTAGAAGAAAAGCTGTCCCATATAATCCCAATTCAATCTTTTTTTTTTTTTTTGGCTAGCTATGATATCTTGAGCAAAATATTTCACATCTACAGGACTTTCTTCCTTTTCTATAAATTAGAGAGTTGCGGGGGGGAATGCCATAAGCCCCTTGTGCAAGCACTTGGCCTAATGGAAGCACCACTTTGTAGAAACACTACTTCTATTTTCTTATACCTGGTGAGACAAGAGTTAAAAATGTATCTTAACAGTCTTGATAGAAAAAGCAATGAAGAAAGCTCTTTAATGCCACAACTATGTGTCATCCTTGTCTAGGAGCATAAATTTGCACAGCGGGCAGTGCAGTGAAAACAGCTCATAATCAACTCATCACCTCTCATCATTGCTAGGATCAAATGCAAATGGGAAAGAATGCCACTTCAGTCATTGCTAGTGAAAATTAGCATCTGTGACACTAATGGTGTCTCATTTAGTATGCACTTTAGATTTTAAAAAATGGTTTTAAAAAAAGCTGTTTCCAAAACTGCCATTATTCCAATGTTTCCCTTTAAAATAACAGTGGTATTTGAATCTCCTTTACTCAAAGAAATACCTCAGTTAAAATTTATTAACACAGATGATGAAGCCCTGCCCTATAAAGGCTGACCTGTTCTAATTACAGTTGCAGACCTTCGTTTGTAAGGTCTGTTCCTTTTCTGTTTTCAAAATTTCTACCATATTCCCTGACCTGGAACAAAGGTGTACTTGTTACGTAACAATAGGCCTCTCTAGGGATTCTTATGCAATACTCGCTTTATTGGAGTTCTTCTTAAAATAAAACTTAAAAATGAATTATAGTTGTGTTTACACACATGCATACAAACTTTCTTATGTATACACTCACAAGTTCGCTACCAAGAATAATGAAAATACATAGTATTGGTTAGTATTCATACTTGAACCAGGTTACATACAGTATAATTAAGAAACTCCTTTCACTTTACAAATATTTATTAAGAGCCTACTGCATTTAAGGTGTTATGCTAGGTGCAGGAGGAAGATACATGCTTACACTTACCTCAATACTAGATCATGATTTTTTTTGACAGTTTGAACATTTGAATACTAAGAAAGTTATTCTTATTGTTGTTTTACAGCTGTAAGTGTTGAAGCTTGGGTGAACACCTAGAGGATTTTGTAGGTGGAATTCTTTCATTTAATCAGAGACAGGAATGGAGGACCTCTAAATTTCTTTCCAACTTACAGATACTCTTAAAGATACGTTCTGGTTTCCTTAAAATTTAGCTGGAAATTAAGACAGAAATGTAAATAATATCTACAGTCCCTATGCTTGTAATTGCAGCATGGTAATTAAGAACAGGAATACTGGAAAATGACATATGTATCTCACACTACACAGTTTTATTTTTCATCTAAGTATGTCAGCTCAAGTTAACTAACCTTCTCTATGCCTTCTCATCTATAATGCTAAATAAGAGTTGTTCTCTCACAGAATTGTTACAAATATTAATAGATTAGTGTACAGAAAGCTCTAAACATAGTCACTGGTATGTAATCTCACAGTAAATATAGAAAACAGAAACATTTTAGTTGGAAAAGAGTTAAGGAAAATTATGTTCTATAATTTAGGCATTTAATAGAGTGTAATAAGATCATATCTGCTGAATTCTGAATCCTAGATATGCTTAAATATTTTTAAAAATCACTATCAGTAATGCACACTGGTGATGAGAAGGTAAAAACAAACTTCAGGAAGGAAAGTACAGTACCTTGCAAGTATGTTAAGCAAAGCTATTGTTTTTAAATGGAGGTACTAGGGATTGAACCCAGGATCTTGCTAAGCATGCATTCTACCACTAAGTTCTACCCCCGCCTCCAGCAAAGCTATATTTGATTGACTAATCTAAATGTAGAATACTTAACCCTTATTTATCAAATTTCTTTCTTAATTTGGATTTTACCCATACCCCATAGAGAGTTCTGAAACACAAATTATAAGTTTCCCTTATGGAATATCTCTGGTCACTTCTTCTTAACCTACAGTATGAACCTCTTATAATACATATGAATGCTATTTGTCCTATTTATGAGCTATTTGAAGGAAAGAACTGATACCAAAAATGGAAAAACAGAAGACATATTAATAAATTATTGATGGTAAAACTGTATTTTAATGTGTGTTTTGATTTATATTTTTCATTTATGTACATGTTTATTGATAAGTCTTGTGAATATAAGAAAATAATCTATTATTTTGTATATAGACTCATAAAATCCGTTGCTACATTTTATATCCATGAATGTTTTTAACCTTCTCACAACCGTAGTACATATTTTTAAAAAACTAATAGCAAAGTCCTTCTCTATATATTTCCTTTTCAAATGAACAGTTTCATAATTTTTATTTGAGGAGCAATGTTAGGTATAATATCCATTCACCATTTGAATTGCGTATTAGGTCACCTGAACTACAACTCATAGGAGTTAACATGAACTGCACATTAAATAATGTTTCCCTCGTTTTTAAAGTTGTTGCTTTTTACCTACTTTAGTACTTACAGTTAAAAAAAAAACAAAACAAGGAAAGCTCTCTCAGAAATTCTGAAAGAGTGAAACATACACAGGAGTGTACGTTTCTGGGTCAGGAGGTGTGAACAATTGTCTGGTAGGTAGTTAATCAGTGTAGACAGTGATTCCCTGTATTTCAGACTGATTTCTTGATGGTTCTACTGTGTCTTTCTAGACACAGGCCCTGTGTTCCCTTCTAGTGGATGAAAGGATTTGCAGTCCTCATTCTACTAGCCATTTATTTGTAGGAATCATCGTGACATCCATCAATGCCATCTCTTAAGGTTTTGGTTCTTTCTCTATAAAATACACAAAGATAACTACCCAGTAAAAGTGAATTAAAGCAAAGTTGTTTCTAAGACATAATTCGAATAATTGGAAAATATTATCTTCATATTAAAAGGAAAGGATTTAGAAGATCTGGAAAGTATGAAAAGCACACTTGTACATATACATCCACATATCTCTTTAAATTCATGTATTGTGAAACCATCCATCTAAAGAAAATGGGAATTTATTCACAACAAAAATTAATGTTTCCAATGTGACTATTTTCTGTGATATATTTTATTCCCAGATGTATACTTTATCAAATATATTTTTACTTTTATGAGTAAGTAAGTCAATAAGGTGAACAATACTCCACTTGTATTACAATAGTTCCTGCAGTCAAGGCAAATGATGATTATAGACTAAAGTGTCATTTTGAAAGTATTCAATGACATAAGTATGATGGTAGATCACAATATATGCAGTTCTTATGAGGTACTCTAAATTTTAAATACTTGGAGGAGAACCACTGCTTCATATTTTGTGCTCTCCCTGAAACCTACTATTGTCAACTCACTATTGGTTGCATTTAACCAAGCAAACTTTATGTAAAATTAATCTTAAATAGAAAGGTAAGTGATGCCTTTGAAAACTTTGTTGTACTCTTTGGGAACTGTTAGCTTGACTTTTTATTATATTAGGGAAAGAGGCAGAAATCATGATGCATTATCCAGCTGTATTTTTAACTAGAGATGCTTGTCTGTCCTTTATCAGATCTTTGTGTCAGAAAGAATTAATATTACAAATCATTTATTGTTAGTTTCCAAAGATTAGAAATGATTTATTTTTAGTTTCCTTCAGAGAGATTGTGTAGTATCTTGCAAAGAGTTATAAAATATTGGCTATTGTTCAATGCCACAACAATTCAAAATTTCACAATCAGTTCCCAACTCCTTTCTCTTGGAACGGGTGCCAAGCAAATAAAAACCAATAATAGATAATCAGTCCTCTAAAAAGACATCTGGACTTACTCATCATTTATTGACAAGCAGATATAAAATGTTATTTACCTAAGAAACTTTAAAAATGTACAAGTTTTGGAAAAATTCTCTGATACCAGTATTTCATAGATATTTTCTTTTATGTTATTAATGAAACTAATTTAGAATTCTACAATAGAATCTAAACTTTGTTATCTCATACCCTATTTTTTAAGTAGTAATTATTTTCAAGACAAAGAATAGAATAACAGCTCTAAACAAAACAGATTGACAAATCTTTAAATTTATGGGGTCTTGATGCTTCTCAAAACACAACCCAATCATCTCTCTAGTAATGGTGTTAATTCAAGCGAGAGAGAGAGAGTAGGAAAAATAACCTCTACAACAAGCTATCATATTTTAGTTTGAAAAAATTTTAAAAAATTTAATCAAAACATCTCAATTTTACAGCCTTCTCATAGTGAAATGTATTATAAATAGCTGAGAATTTGAGAGATAAAAAGCATTTGGTAGGCTGTTAGACATAAACAACTTTATAGTTATTAAAAATGTATACAAGGATTTCATAATATCAGCCTTTCAAGCAGAGACCACCAAATTGATTTCCCTAAAGCTGATGATATGAGCTCAAAGTTTGGTTACAGATGTAAATAATCAAGTATGCTCTATAAGATAAATTTACAGAGACAGTAATTGTCAGGTATTATTTAACACGTAACCTTGCAGTTCAATTTTTTCCATACTTGCCACTAGGCAGTCAGCCCTATGGTCGAATTGTGCCTGACATATTAGAACAGTACGTGTGTGTGTGTGTGTGTGTGTATTCTATTAAATAATTTGGTTTTGTTTGACTGTGTATGAAATTACCTTACCTTTGGTTTTTGATGTTTCTCCTTCTCTGAAACATTGGATGGCTTTCTCTTCAGCATTTTGAATTGAGACTACTCCAAGCAGGAGCACTTTCTGTTGTTACAGAAACGACAACGGCAGGCAGCAATATGCTGTCTATGATGTGCAGCCGCAGATAAGTTTGAGCCCAGTAACCTGCCACTTCCTCTTTTGGTCTGGATATGACTTCACATCTACATGTGTGAAGTTTGGGTTTTTTTTTTCTTTTTGTACAGTAGTTCCCTGGTAACTCTTTAATGTTCTGTTCCTGCTATATCCTAAGAGGTAGATTCCTAAATCCCACACTTTGACGTGACTGCAGTTATCATAAGGGCCATGAGGATTTTAAAATAAAACTTTTTTTTTTTTGGTTTATACAAATATAAAAATCTGTAACACTTTCTTTGGGAAAAGGGAAGAAAACATCTGAGCCAATAAATGAAATGAAACTTGAGATGTGAGCTTTTAGAAAAATTAAGAACATACTCAGAGTAGTCAATTTTACATTTCCATGTAAACTTTATTAGAAGAGGAAATAAACTAGACTTTAACCAACAATAATCCTATTTAAGCATGCATGCACATTTAAAAATAGAGTATGGATGAAATTCATATAAATAGGAATATGACTCCAAAAGTAAATGATTATGCATATTGTTACTTTTTAAACACATGACTATGTTATAAAGTCTCAATTAATATGGAAATCAGTTAAACAGACTCTTCAATTAACCAGATGTCTTTCTGCTACAAACTTCATTGCCATATGCTGATAAGTACTAACAGAGTGATGATCCAGTGGATCAATGGTACCTTCAAATGACGTATCCCAAGTCCCTATTTAATAGGCCTGGAACAGAGCTAATATTGTTTAGAAAGACTTTCCCCATCAAACCATAGGGTTTAACATTTTTACTATAATGTCAAAATCAAAACACCCATGAAGTAAAAGCAAGAAATTTGAGCTTTCTTGTTAACTAGGGACTTACCAAAGGGATACTTGCAAAATATCTGAAACTCCACTTCTATTAAAACTGGCTTGTTAAGGAAATCAACCTAGATTTTGTTTATAAAGCCCCTGGGTTGAAAAGCAGTGGTGTCACTTTCTTAATGAGCGGCTCTTCTAGGTAACAAATCACCTGACTCTATTTCTCAGTCTTCCCTCCTACCTGTAAGCCTCTCCTCCCTGAGGCTCAGTTCTAATGTTCAAATTTCACTAATTCATTTAACAAATATTAAATTGAATGTCTGCTGTGTGCTGTCTGACAATATATCAAGTCTCTTGACTAGCTAAAAAAATTGTTTATATTCTGTAGCATCATTAAAGAAATACGCTTGTCAAGATTATGGTGACTATGTTTCTTCTACTAGATATTAAGAGCAGAATTATATTTTTATGAATTATTAGGCTGGTATTTTCAAAATAATGACACAAAGGATAACACTGAAAAACCTTAGAACTTTGAGGGTGGATAATTCCCTGAAAGTACACTTTCTTTCGAGCCCTGTTTGGGCTGAAGTTAAGGCAGTGGTCTAAGTAAAAATTTTTTTTCATTTCTTCAGTAATTGAAAGTCATGAAAAAATATATTTCTTAACTGAAGGATTTGCAACCTCTGTGCCCCCTTTCGTTCATCTGTGAATAGAAATTTAATTCAGTTGTGGAGTTCAATCAATAACCTGGGCATGATAATGCACTTACTACACGTTCATGTTTTGGTGAGAATAAAAGGAAATACCAATAAAGAATGTACTTATTTAAGTAATGTTTTATATCAAGAAATGTTCATGGATCTTAAAGAGGCAGAGAATTTCAAATACTTATGTTTGGGATGATGTTTGCTACAGATTATATTTCTACAATGCTAACTAAAGAATAGAGAACACTCACATTCATGGCGACCAGAGTTGGACTATATGCAGTTTTAAAAAGTGTTAACACTCGAGCAGTTTGAACCTGGATTTT